AAGGTATATTCCTTCTAATACATCTTTGCATCACAATAACATTCATGAACATATTTAATAATTTAATGTTATTAATTAAGTTTCTTATTTGTTTAACAAAAAAATGCATGATCTTAAGAAAACAGTGTTGAACAAAAATCGTGTTGAAGCTTCAATTTGTGAGTCTAATATTCTTTCAGAAATTTCCTTCTTTTGCTCGCATTATTTTGGATCTAATATAGAGACAAGACTGAATCGTCAACCAAAAAACATTGTCGGCGTGAATGATAATATGGATAATTGTTTGTCTGTCTTTAAATATCGAGGTCAACCACTAGGTGGAGAAATGCGTATGCGTGCATTGTCACCCAAAGAATTAAAGGCAGCAGAACTTTATGTTTTGCTTAATTGTAAAGAAGTTAATCCATGGATTGTGTATATTCTCTAGTTCTAACTTTAATTTGTTTAAGTTACTGGTATGTTTAGGTTGTTTACTCCAACTTCTTCATGTAGGCTTTTTGATTATCAAGTATGTTCCGATCTATTAGAGAATCAAATTCAAATCAAACGGCAACTTGGATTTATTCCTTGGTTTAAGACAACAGTAAGTAATTTATTTTAATAATCTTTATTAGTAAGATCTCAATTTTTATATATTTTAGGATTAAATATTAAATATTTTTATAACAAATCTAGGTGCATAGTGGAAGATATGAGGTTGATTCTCGCCTTTTGCCTTTAGTAACTGACCCAGTCAATAACGTTAGGCTATATAATGGTTATTAGGTTAATGGATTTCAGTTTCATACTATCGCATATTGACAAAATAAAAAGACCATGAATAGCGGTATTTGTGTGAAGGGAACTATTTTCAATGATGAGTCAGATTATTATGGGAGTTTGAAGGAAATAATTGAGCTTCAGTATTTTGACTCATATGTTCATCAATCAATGATTTTGTTCAAGTGTGAGTGGTATGATATCAGCAAAGGCATTGTGGTCCATCCAATATCTGGTATAGTTGACATAAATCCTTGGTTTAAATTACAAAGAGATGAACCATTCATATTGGCCAGTTAAGCTCAACAAGTGTTTTATGCCCATTACCCATCTCAAAATCCTTGTAGAAAAAGGTGGTTTGTTGCTTGTAAGATTAGAGCAAGAGCAGTAATCGACACTTCATTGTTGAGTAACAATGGAAATGTTTATTATCAAGACGATGATCCTCCTATGCCACAATTTGTGCAACTCTCGACTATTTTAAATGATCATGTTTCACTAGCATCTCAAGGGGGAGAAGAAGTGGTGATTAGTGAGGTCAGAGGAAGAATGTGTGGGTGAGGATGATGATGAAGAGGAAGAGTTTGATGGAACGGAAACATCGAAAGAAGAAGTTCCAAATTACTTAATCAAGAGTGATAGTGACTAAATGTATCTTATTTGATTTTTTTAATTAATTGAACAAGGGATGAAGGACCACTTATATTTTCTTTGTTATATGTTTCCATTAATGACTTTTATATTTATTTTTATATCAATATGTTTGCTATAATTTTTTATATTGATATTTATAGTGAAGTTATATTTATATATTATTATATTTATATTAATATATATATATCTATTTACTTATAAATATATATTGCATATATTTATAGTTATTTATATATATTTAGTTGTGTATTGATATTTATATTTTTCATTTTTTTCTCATTTTTTAAATTCTCATTTAATCAAATGTATGATTTTTTTTTTCATATTGTATTAAACTATTGAA